TATTCTAAGATCCAAAGTTAAAAGTATAGCATCTTACATGTCATCTGCACTTGGATGTTTTAGACATACTCAAAGTTAACATGGTCAAAAACAGTTATTTAGTTCTCTTTTCCAGAAAACTTGATATCCCTGACTTTCTTCACTCAACAAATGAAATCATCATCCACCCAATTACTAAAGCAGAACCCTATAAATTTCTTTCTAATGCCAAAGGTATTTCAAATTCATCTAATTCTCTCCATCTCATTTTCTATGGTCTTTCCTCGATTTCTTTAACATCCTCCATATTGGCCTTCCTGTTCTCCTCTTGGCTCCCTCCTCTCCATTCTCCATGCAAAAACTGAAGTTACCTTCTTAAAACCCAAGTCATATTATGTCACTCCTGTTAAGGCCTACCAGTAGTTCCCCAATTAGAATAAAATATGCATTTTTTTTTAAATTTTTTTTTTCAACGTTTATTTATTTTTGGGACAGAGAGAGACAGCATGAACGGGCGAGGGGCAGAGAGAGAGGGAGACACAGAATTGGAAACAGGCTCCAGGCTCTGAGCCCTCAGCCCAGAGCCCGACGCGGGGCTCGAACTCAGGACCGCGAGATCGTGACCTGGCTGAAGTCGGATGCTTAACCGACTGCGCCACCCAGGCGCCCCAAAATATGCATTTTTTAACCATGATCTTTATAGGGATATAACCTCTCCAGTTTCATCCAATTCCACTCTTTCCATCACTTGCTCACTAGACTAATGATGCTCATGTTTTCTCAGTTCCTGGAGCAGACCCATGTATTCCCTGCCTCAGGGTCTTTGCCTTTGCTACTCCTATGCCAGGAACTTCCCTTCTCCAAACATAAAAATGTTTAGATATTTATTCCTCAGTTCACAGCTTGGATTTTGCTCTTTTGAGAATACTCTTCTGACCTCCTTTAGCAGATCTAGATTTCCTTGTAATTTGTTTATTCACTGCCTATCATTTCTTATAGTTGCCAACTTGTAATTTATTTGCTTACATGTTATGTCTTCCTCACAAAGTTTTAAGCTCCGTGAAGACAGTGGTTACTTCAATATTGCATCTCAAATTCTAGCATGGTACCAGAGTAAGTACTTAATAAATATTTGTTAAATGAGTGACACTCTCAACTTAAACATCGTTTCTTCCAAGAAGCCTATGATTCTTGCCGCCATAATAGATCTACTCATTATATGGCCTGTAGCCCTCTCTACTTCCTCATAATAGTTTACTTTTTTATAATTACTGTTTATCTTCCATGTTAGATGGTAATGATATGGGCCTTATATGTTTGTTTTACTGTGTTATCCCCAGCACCTTGCACAGTGGCTGCAGTATGGCAAATGTTTCATAAATGTTTGAGTAGTAAAGGAATATTTGGTACACCTTAGAAGCTTATTAATTTTTTTGTTGTCTGAATGAATTTGTTGAATAAAAATTGGTAATGGTGACTTAGAGGCTTTTTTTAAATGGTAGAAATGTTAAGTATTAACAAGATCTCACATTGAGTTGGAGCTTAGAGAAGATTGTGATTCAATCCTTATGACCCAGATAATGTTTTCTCTGTCTCTAAAAACAGACACAATCATATCAATCTAAAAGAAGTGTTTGGTAATTTACATAAAATAAGAGCATTGGCTCAGATAGAGTAAGAAGTGATGAAGAATATGCCTTATTAAGCAAAAACTCTTTGTTAGTACCAAGTCAAAAGAACATACCAAGCTCAGCCATGTTGACAATTGATTCCCTTTGAAAGGCAGAATATTAGATCTAAACCATTCATCATGAACAGAAAATACAAACTGAAAAATAAAAATTATCACAACAAAAAATAACAACATAGAAAAATAAAGTCCTAGAGCAAGAAACTTCAAAACATGTTCTGCTGCTAAAATGGTGTGGGAAGTGGGAGCAGGGAAATAGTTCCCCAGTGAAACAAGTGCAAGAAACACTGGATTGAACAAAATCATAACTATGTCTTTCCTGAGAATTTTTCAAAGCTTCTAATATACTATAGTGCCTTAGGGCCTATCAATGGAAGTGTATGGAATGATTTTTCCCCCTAGATCTATTTGGCCATCAAATCATTTTTGCACAAAATATCTAGTGGAATTGATCTGGAAAGAATTAGTCTTGGTACTGAAAGCAACCTTCCGTTAGCAGAGATTTAGTTCAGTTTTATTAGAAGACAACTGAAATAGTCGTCCTTAGATTATTAAAAGGGGATTTTCTCAACTAGGCAATTATTTGAATGTATTGCCTGTGATTATTCAGGAATAGATACTGATGTTTCTGTATGTGAAGAGAATGCAAGTCATTCTATTAGGGAGAGGGAGTGTAGAGGGATAATGGATTGTTGGGAAGAAAGGTGAGAATCGTGAAAACAGTGTACAGATATACCTTAAATGCTTAATAAAAGAGTAGGGCAATCAAAAATGTAGTAATCTTCATCCAATCTTTGACAGAGCCTAATTCATACATTTCAAAGTCATTAAAGAGTTCAATATAAGGTAAGTTAATGGAGACTTCATGATCTGTTGACCTTATTACATCATTAAAAGATCAAATTTTGGCCTGAAAATAGCAGATTCCTTCTCAATGATTCACATTACCCAGAAGTCTAGGGTTTACTGGAATTCTTAACAAAAATTACAAATCTCTTTGCAATAAATTTCAGGTAGTGGTTCTTGATAACTTTAAGTACAGTTCGCCATTAAACTTGCCCATTATCTATCAATTATTGCTTACCTTTTATTTTGTTTTGATTTTAATCTTTTTCCTTCATCTTTCTAAGTAGTATAGAACCTCCACTCTCAGTTCATTCATCGTCACCCAAGAAGTTGATTTTAGTTTTTGGCATAAAAAGCCCATATGGTGTCCTTAAGTGTTGCTTATTTACCCTGAGAGTGCTTCATTGTGTGGCTTTCTCAGATAGGACTCAGCACTCATCAGATAACAAATCCTTCTTCTCAAAGAAACTGGCTTCCTCATCTCAAACCAGTTTGTAAACTCCCTTTCCCTTTATTTCACTGCTTTTCCCCCTTTCAAAACCTTGAAAAAGTAGAAAAAAGAATAAATATTTCTTTCTTCCTTGTAACTGTATTTTTTAAAGATAACAACATTTTTTCCTACGTAAAGTGATACATGCTCTTCTTAAACAGATTCAACACTATAGAGAAACACAAAGAGACAATTCATCCAGAATTTTATCACCTTAAATGACCAGTGTTACATCTGTGAAGGATTTCCCCAGATATATCTGTCTGTGTATACACAGAAGGAAAGAGAAAGGGAGCCAAATATAATTTTATAATAATTGAATGATAGTCTACATGTTTTAAAAATAAAAAGTATTATGTTTAATTCTATTTGAATGTAACAGAACAAGAAACAAGTAGAACTGAAGGAATTATTAAACTTGAGACAAATGTTTCTTTTTGCTAAAGTATTTTCAATTATTTAAAATAGAAGAAAATAATAAGGAACAATATGTAAGTGTGAAGCGTTTTAAATTCCATGTCTACCCTTGGTCTGGATAGCTCTCCATGAAAGATGGAGAGGTGAATTCTTTTACACTTGCTTCGCCTCCTATTCCTTTCTCCTGAGTGTTGTCCATCTTACTAAATCAGTGTCATACTTGACACCTGGGCTGAGTATAGCACTGTATGATACTGTTGTGTCTTTTTTCAGAACATACAGACTTTGTTCCACTGTGTTTTGGAATTGAATGTTTAGGAAACACTCTTAGGCCAGCCTGCTTCTCCCCACTGTTGAAAGTTTGTTTTATTTATTTTATTCTTTTGGGACACCCTAGAGGATTCTTTCTTTGTCTTTAAAGTTCAGTTATTTAGCATGTTTTGCTATTGATTGTTCTTTGCCAGCTCTTCCTAAATCTGAAGATTTTGTTCATGGAAATATTGTGTATCCTATCTCTAAGTACTTTTTCTGTTCGGTTTGTTGAGTTTTCTACTTAAAATGACAATTATCTTTATGTTGTATCATTTTTGTCTTTCAGATGTATCTTTGTTTATTTGATCACTTTTCTTTTCTTTTTCTCTTCCACATTTACTGTGGTAATCTCAAGTTATTAATTCAAATGCTACATAAGTGTATTTTGCCCCTAATGTGTTCTGATTCATTGGCTCTGTCATTGTATTTTTTTTTTTTTTTTTGTTCACTTGCAGGCACTCTTAATTTACTTCCTTTGGTCTTCAGCTTCCTTGTCAGTCCTTTCCATGGCTTTATCTTCTTGCCTTTGTGCTATAAAATCCTAAGACTTTCTATGACATAAGACATTCATGGGGAATGTGCTTCAGTTTCTAGCTTATGTTTTCATCTGGACTGGTCTTGGTTTATCCCATTCATAATGTGTTGCTTTCTTTCTTCTACTCCTTCTTTCCATATTTCCTTATGCCTTAATAAATTACTGCTATTACAATCTAATTCCTTATATGTGGGTGGGCTGTGATGTATTACTGTTGTCCTTATAAGAAGCCATCAGGACACAGACAATACAGATTGAGAACATAGAGAGAAGTCAGCCCTCTGCCAACCAAGGGAAAGAAGCCTCAGAAGAAACCAAACACTTTGACACTTTGATCTTAGACTTCTAGGCTTCAGAACTGTGATAAAATGAATTTCTGTTGTTTAAGCCACCCTATCTGTGGTATTTTGTTATGGCAGCCTGAGCAATACAGGTAATATACTACCAACCTATCTTACCACTGATGATGTGAACCATGATTTTTTACCCCAGGTAGTTTTTTTTTTTTTTTTTTTTTTTCCTAGTTTCTCTGTAGTGAATTGCTTTTTCCTTCTCTGTTCTTTTGAAGGAAGTTACTAAGTGTAGCCCACACAGGAGGGGTCAGGAGTGGATTGAAGGAGAGTTTGGCTCCACCTTCTGAGTAGAAAGTACCATTTGGAATTCTGTAAGAAAGATTTATTTGTCTTTTCTCCTCATTTATTTATTTATTCACTTGTTTATTTATATCAATATTAACTCATGTCTTTTTATTTTATACTTTGGGTTATAATCCAGTACAAATTTATTCATTTTTTTTTTTTTTTTTGCTCAAATTGTTATGGCTTTGGCCACAGGGAACTCTTTCAGCTCACCTTATATCCTTTTGACATGTATCCATAGTTGTGTTTTTAATTTTTTAGCACTTTTTCATTTTCTGTCATTACATGATGGCCAGGGTCAACTTGTACTTTTCCTGCCCCAACTCTAGAATTAGTCAGTTTTCCAAGGAGCCCTGCGTCATTTTATAGGAGAAACTAAGATTAGGTGCTAGATGGAACAAGTTATTTTAAATACAGTCTTGTAGAACTTTTACAAAGGTGTTCTCCATGCATCAATTACCATTTCTTTGTTGAATTTGTTCTCAATCATTCAGGGAAGGCCTGTTTTTCTCTCTTTGATGTAAAGGGCGAACTTCCGTGGTATTTTGTGTTTCTTATTTACTGGAATACAAGGTCTGTAAGAAGCTCTGCAAGAAAGAAGGGCAGTTTCACAATCAAATAATTTTGAATGTGTAGGGTATCGCAGTCACAGCTTCTGGAAATTTGGCATTCTACACAGATGAATAACTAAGAGTTTCTCAAAATGTTTGTGTGGTAAAAGAATTCAGTTAACCTAGTTTAACCCAATTTTTTCCAAGTTTATTTGACCATAGATACCACCTTTTTTGGAATATGTATTGGCATCTTATAGGATTTGTGTTCCTTGGAATTCACTTGGGACAGGCCAAACATAATACTATGACTTGGAAGCCCCTGAAGCTATGCTGTACAGTACTTGAAAGAAGTGTTTTCTTTTAAATGCAGCAAGGCTAGAATGAAAATAATCCTTCTAAAGTGCTATGATTGAATGGCCTTTTCACGAGAGTGCTACATCTGTTTCTTTCATTTCCTTGAGCACCAATCCCTCCCGCTCTGCTGAGCTCAGGCTAAATATAGGTTCTCTATCCAGTATGGTGCATGTGGGGTTGAGAATAATTTTCTCATCTGTCTCACCCAGATCATTTCTCCATAGCTCTAACAACATGATTTCCAAGTGCTATTTTCCTTATAGACCTCTAAGAGATCTGTTCTGAGAGAGAGTATACCATAACTATAAAGTTAAAAAAAATGATGGATAATTTTTATAAATTCACTGAAATTAGGACCATAAAGTCAATAAAATCTTGATCGGTAAAAATGCAACTGATTAGAAAAACCAATTACCCAGAATTCTTTCCCTGCAATAGTTAGAGGAGTTAGAGAGAAGACAGCAAAATAAATTGATATCAGAAAAATTGGCTTCAATTTAACTTTTAGTTCAAATACATACTAATTAAAGAATTTTCCTATAGAACAGTGACATAAAATTAGAATAGAACCATTTTTTTATTAATGATAATATAATAAACAACATTTCAAGTTACTGTTTTTCAGTTTGTAATTAATAAACATCTTGTATGAGATACTTTGAGGCTATGTAAATATCCTGTTCCCCATTAAATTTTCTCCCCCTAGTTTTAGCATCCATTGACGATTTTGCCTGACTCAATTATTGTGTTGATGGTTGCCAAATGATTTTCTGGCATTCTATGATAAGAAAGATCATTTCTTTCATATTGTTTAATTGATTGATTAATATCAGCATATACTCATGGATTCTTATTTAATGTGTTTTAATTTGTTAAGGCAATTATTTTGATGCTTAAATTGTCCCAGATTTAATTAGTGGGACACTTTTAAGCTTACTCTTATGATCTTTTGACATGTTTCCATTCTTATTTAAGTACTTTCTTACTGTCCTGCACTGTAAGATGTTTCACTCATTGGCTTCATAGTTTGTATTGTGGAACTTCTTGGCCTTTGCTGTCCCTTTATGATACCCTTTGTCTCTACAAGGACATCATAATGCTTAGTTAACTTTATCTTCACCGGCTTCTAGATCCTCCTTTGTGCTTCCAGTATCCCTGCTTGGATGTGTTCTGTATCATCTATTTTGAAGCCTATCAGTTATTATCTTTGCTTTCTTAAATCTACCATGGCATGGGATTCTGTATGATGCTGCACCCTCTGGGCCTTTATTAAGTAGTGGTTGATTGATGGTCATATGCAGAAAAGCTTGCTGCATTGTAAACCTCAGGAAAAAATAGCAGGCTAAAAAATGACCTAAACTTTCCAATTGTTAGCACCACAAGGACCTGCAGGGCACATGATTTTGGATTAGGATCCTAGGGTCATTAATTGTCAGAGTAGGACACCTGTAGTTGAGGAAAATGTATTTGTACTTGCTGAACACAAGACTAATGTAGCAAAAAAGTATTTACCATTGAAATATAGCTTAATCAAGCATTTTTTATTTACTCTTATACTCTATTTATATTTGATATCACTGCTGTTCCTCCCACCTGCCATTCCCACTTGGATAGCCTCCCTTCTCATTATCCTCATTTTGTTCAGTCATCTTTTGACTCAAAGTTGGCCAGAATTCAGTGGGTAGTGGTTTCTATCTTCAGGCAAGAGAATGAAGAGAAAAGAGGAAGAAAAGACAAAAATAATAGAGAACATGTTTAAAGGGTGTGAGGCTATGCACCTAAGCACCTACAGTTGCTGCTTAGCAAGCAATATTGGTGCAAGAAAGGAAAGATATGTTTGGGATTGGCAACACTAAAGATGGTCTGGTGTTAGACTCGTAGAGATAATATTGTTGGCACTTTCTTCATTTTCTCTCAAATGCTGTAGGTCCATTACCAAAAGAAAATACCTTTCATGTAATTCTGGGCATTCTTCAAAACAAAGCAGGGCAAGGTATATTTTAATGTAAAGTGTGCAGATACTGGAATTTGTAGGAGTTGCTATTTCCACTCATTGGCTTTGAGATGTTGAGCAAGACCATGAACATCAGTTTCTTCATGTTAAAATGGCAATAATAATATCTATTGTATTATATTATTGTAAGGCCTAGAGACTATATGTGCACAAAGCTTAGAGTAGAATGCTAACACATAGTAGGTGCTTAACAAATACTGCTGCTAGATTAGCAGATCCTAGAATTCCATGTCGGTAAGAATCCTCTAAGGGTATTATTTTTAAAACAAAATGAGACAAACAGGCCTCCAAGCTTTTCCTTGAAGATTCTTACTCAGTCATTCTGGGAAGAGAGCTGGAAATATCTTCTTTTCTTTTTAAAATTTATTTTAATGAATACTTGAGGCTATCATCAGTGAAGGTGAGCAAACCTATAACAATAGCCAGTGCAGCATGGGCCTATCGAAGAGGAGGTTGCCAGGACCGATGAAACCAATACCCATATGATTATACTGCCCATGGTCTACTTCTCACCCATAGTTTTTCCAAGCTCCTGTCCTCTTTCTGTTTCACTGCCCACTTCATATGTTGTACATGCCTTTGAAACTGGAATATCCAAATTGAACTTGGGCTTTCCTTTATCATTTACCTTTCAAAGAAGGAAACTCCTCTTTGTTTCCATTTTTGGGAAGAAGCACAGCCATCTTTCTAGTTTTCTAACTGATATGAGAAGGACATCTTCCATTCCTGCTTCATCTCTTCCAAAATGGTCTCCTGCCTTCAGTCTTACTCATCTCAACTTAATAGCAGAGTGATCTTTCATATGAGGGGTGCCTGAGTGGCTTAGTCAATTGAGAGCCCGGCTCTTGATTTTGTCCCTGGTCATGATCTCACAGTTGTGGGATTGGGATTGACTCCCGTGTGAGATTCGGGGTGCGGAGCTTGCTTGGTATTCTCTCTCTCTCCCTGTGACCCTCTCCTCACTTTGTGCATATGCTCTCACTGTCTCTAAAGTAAATTTTTAATAGAATAGAATAAAATAAAATAAAATAAAATAAAATAAAATAAAATAAAATAAAATAAAAATAAGATACAAAACTAGCCATGTTTGGAAATTTTTATTACAAACTTGAGAATAAAATTCAAAGTCCTCATGGAAGCATTTGAGGTCTTTTATGATATGACCTTAGGCTTTCTCTTTTAGGCTCACCTTCTACAATATTCCTTCCTTTCCCTTCTCTCCAAATTAACCATACTACTAGTTTCTTCCCACCAGTGTTAAGACCTCACAACTACTTGACATTGCTGTTGGGTGGCCTTTTTCTGGAATTATATATTAGCTGCCACATTTTACCTAACTCCTGTAAACTCCTCTACTCTTAGTGTTTTAGATATCTTCCAAGTATCCTAGAAGGTTCAGATCAAGCATTACATGCTCCTGGAGCTTTTCTGAGGCCCGTTTCCTCACATCTGTTAATCCTTCTCCTGTGACCTTCTTGTTTCTATAGCTTTGATACTGCTTTATTTTAAGCATCAGTTTTCTAATTTCCTTTAGGCTAATATTACTCCAAGGAAAATAATTATATTTTAATCTTCTCTCTTTTCTCAGTTGTTTGAAAAGTTGTGATATATGGAAGGTACCTACTAAATATTTGTTGAGTGAATGATTAGGAACCATATAATGATTTCTTTTTTTTTTCTAACAATTCACACTTAGCAATCAGGCATAGTAACATTTACCAATTATTAAGATCTCACCCTAATTACAATTACATAGATTTATCTTTATCTCAGACACATTCTGAGAGTAGAGTAGGATATTTCCCCTTACAGATCCTATAAAATATAGATTATCGTCATTTTTTATCCTCATAAACTTTGGAAATGAGAAGTGGAAATGTTTAAGAGATTATTTCTTAATTCTGTTTCAGAAGATATGGGGAAGGATAGCCTGGATTTCATCTGCCCCACTTAGTGTGCCTTACTTCATGGATCATCCAATCACTAGTGACAACATACAGTTAATTATATCTTCCTGTCACTAATGTGAGTAGACATACTCTGTCAGTAGAAACAGCTCAGGGGAAATGATTCAGAAAGAAAAAAAATCACAAATTTTTACACAAATATCCAGGCAGTGAGTGTGTCGTTATTGATTTTTACTGATGATCAAAATGACTGATTTGTATTGTCACTGTCCTTTGCATAAATGGGAATGATATGTAGACCTTAATGATTTGTATGTGAACTTCTGAGGAAAATACCTCAGAATGCAGAAGTGATGGTGAGTTTTAATGTCTTGTTTGGTCATTTCCAGGAAAGCCTTTTTCTCTAATTTGAATGTTATTCATCTTCTGGAAGCAAACAGAAGTTTCATTATAACAATATTCATTATAACATGGACTTCAGGCTAGCAATGGTATTCTTTTGATCTATTCAAGGAAGCTTAGAATATGGAGTATATCATAGTAACACACAATGTTACTTATTGCATGAATCCATTATATTAAAAAGTATTTTACAAGAAGACTTTCCATAAAGGCTTTCCTATATAGGGTAGAGGTAGAGATAGTATCTGTCTTATTTACTATTGTACTCATATACTAATAGTATTAAAGTGCTCCTGTAATATGCACGTGTGTATGAACACACATTAATTGGAGAATGGATGAATTCAATTTATGAT